CGGCGCCTCGGCGAGCCTGTTTGCAGGCGTCGTCCCTTCACACAGGCTGTCCCAGGCACCGCCAGCCCCAGCCCTCACGGGGTGACGCTCAGCAGCAGGGCTGTGAGGTTTCTTCCGCCTCGGTACCGGCCTCGTTATGTGCTCGCTCTTCGCCGTGTGCTTCAGTTACGTATATACACAGTTTTTTCGCCATTTGTGGCATTTTGTAGGTTTTAATTGCGCAGTTAAGACGTCACGTTTTAGGAAGAATAAAGCTCTTGCGCTACGGGGCGTTAGCGTCAAGCACAGGCTGAAACCCGAGTGGGAATAAAAGTCTGACAGGCTTGGCAGGCGCTTCCCACTGCACAACCATCTGAGGTGGTTTACAAGATAAGGTATAATCTAGAAATACAGGGTCATACTTTATGCTTTTTTCATGCTTTCTCAGGCATAGCCCAGCTTCTGCCATCTTCTCTGTTAATTGTAGTAAGTTCCAAAAGCATTTTCTGGAAGTACACCTTACTGCTTAGGAGCTCGCTTCAGTGATGCTGGAGAGTCTTAAGAAAACAGAATGAAGTAGCTTCTGATAAATCGGGATGGGCGGGAAGAACTAATCCAAACAGACGCTAATCTTCCTAAATTGTGTGATGTGCTGGTATTTAAAAGAAATAGGAAAGCTTGTGGTCGGTGAATGGGAGAAGAGGGGCCTATTAAACTTGGTTTTGAGTAAAGCCAAATGACTGAGAAGGCTGATGTTCAGGAAAAAAGAAACTTGTGAATGAACTGGCATGTTTCCCAACACACAGAAGCTACCAGACATAAGCTACTATGAAATGTAACATTTAGTAATAACACATACTCCAGGTTTCTAAATAAAGCTTTGCAAGCTGAACGTTGAGAAGAAAGTAAAAATATACATGTAGCTGTGTTTCTGTTTTGAGTTCCAAATTCAGCACAGTGTCTGTCAGCTTTTGTTTTGCAACAGTTCATGGTTCTATAATCATTCACCTGCTGGGGGCATTAGTGTAATTTTGAGAACCTGATTTTCAACTAGGGTTGTTTGAACTGAACCACATCTGTTCCTGCAGACAGAATTTAGGGTGAAGCAGATCCATCTCTAGGTTTACCTTGCAACAGAGTAGTTAGCTCAGCTTTTTTCTAAACATGAAGAGGTGTGCTAGTGCAACACCATCATCACTTTGTAACAGAATTACCAGGAGCAAGTTTCAATGCAACATTTTGAAGAGAGAAATTGAAAGTATCTTGATTTTTAACAAAAAGGGGCGTTTGAAATTCTGTGACATAAAATAGATATAGACTACCCTTGTAAGTGGCTTATTGCACATTTTGCAGCAGGAGGAATGACTTTAAAGCCATTAAATATAAATCTTATCTAGTAAAGTAGATCCAATTAGCTGACATGTTTTTCCTGCTAAGAATTTTTCTTTTTTTTCTGGATAATAGACTATTTTGAGCAATCTAAAAACTTTTTTAGTCTATACGGAGTATCTGGTTTGCATTCTTTAAAATGTTTTAGAAAAGTTAGAATTGTAGTTACAAGTTTACAGGAAAAAGAAGTGTTCAGTTCATTACTTCAGTTCCCCACATTCAGAGATCAGTCACTGCCAAACACGGACTTCTTAAAAGTTTGGTAGCCTCTGTGAAAAGAAGTGTTGAATGTGACAAGGATTTGACTGTTCTCTTCACAGTATAGCCCAGACAACGTGGCTGGAGCAGACGGAGACTTTGACCCCACTGAAATCACCTTTCCAGGATGTTCTTGTGTTACCAGCTCCTGTGCGGTTCATGTGTGCCCGTGTCTTTGCCACGGTGAAAATTACAACAGTTTGTGCCTCAGGCCTCCAGCCAAAGAGGAGGAGTACGCCAGGCCTGTTTTTGAATGCAATGCCATGTGCCAGTGTGGTGAATCCTGTCAAAACAGGGTTGTTCAGAGGGGTTTGCAATTCAGACTTGAGGTATTCAAGACTCAGAAGAAAGGGTGGGGTCTTCGCACGCTGGAATTCATAGCTAAAGGACGATTTGTTTGTGAATATGCTGGTGAAGTTTTAGGCTTTAATGAAGCACGTAGAAGAATTCAGGCCCAGACATCAAAGGATTCGAACTATATTATAGCTGTGAGGGAACACCTCCATAGTGGTCAGATAATGGAGACATTTGTTGACCCCACGTACATTGGTAACTTAGGCAGATTCCTGAATCATTCTTGTGAACCGAATTTATTTATGGTGCCAGTTCGAGTTGACTCAATGGTGCCTAAACTGGCACTTTTTGCAGCTACTGATATCTCTGCTGGACAGGAACTTACATATGATTATTCAGGAAGATTCCATAATTTACCAATAACTAATAGAGAAGGAAAAACTTCAGAGGAAGAGAACAGATTGAGAAAGCCTTGCTACTGCGGGTCCCGCACATGTGCTGCCTTCTTACCTTGGGACAGCTCCCTCTTCTCAACACCAGATGCTTGTTCAGGGACCTCTCCCTAGCTTTTTAGTCCCTAAATATACCTAACGAATGTATTTTCTCTAGTAGTTAAATTGCAGTTAAATAAAACTCTTGTGTATGCCACCAAAAAACACATGTGCTTCTGGAGTAACGGCTAAAAGATAAGATTTTCAGAATAACTTGATGCAACATCCTGGAGGCTGTCTTGAAGGTGGATGGTATGAGGGTGCACCGGAGCTTAAGGTGTTCCCAGATCAGTTACTAAGCCAGGCCTGGTAGCTTTTTTCGCTTGTTTTTTTCTGACAGGTTGCTGTATGTTAACGCACCTCTCTCAATTAGTACCTTTGAGAAAGAATGAACTTTAACATTGGTACACAGAAAGGACATGAGAGCAATGAGAAATGTCACTGAAAATTACACAAGAGAATGAGACCAAGGAATCTGGACATTCGCAAGAGGGCATTACATTTCTCAAATAACATTAGAAAAAAAATTTTTAATTACTTGCTATAATGTTTTTTTTTGTTTTGCACAACCTAAACAACTAGTTATTATTGATGTAAAAAACATGCCCAGAAAGGTTAGCTTGAATGCTTCTTCCCCCACTTTTCCATTTCCAGTCACATCTTGCTGCTTGCCAAAATGCAGTTTTTAGTGACAAGTTCAGTTTCGTTGCCATTTAGTTTTTGTGTAAACAGCACAGTACCACAGGCTCTGAGAAGTACAATCATGCCATCTTTTCAAATCACATCTATCTCAAGGCTCACCCAATAAGATTTCTGCAGTAATAGCAAGCAGCACGTCCACGTTACTTGCCAGCACTATTATTACATGCTCAGGAAGCAAATTCAGACTGCAGTCTAAAGCAGTATGGTGCTGCTATTCTGACTTCTGAAATGGATTCAAGTGGGAAATCATAAAGTACATCTGAACAATAAATTTGTCTTTTTACATTGTTGAACAGCTGGCAGATATGTGAATGCTCCTTTCAGCTACTAACAGGTTTGTTTTCACTTTCCCACAGAGCCAAACAGTATGAAGCAAGGCCTGTCCTTTCCCAGCAGAAGGTCGTTGCCTCCTCGCTTCATGGTTCTTGTATGGGTCTAACTGCTTTACTGAGCATCCCCTTACACTGGGGGAGCGCGAGAGGGCTTGCTGGATGGGGTACATTCTGCAACTCCAGGTTACTTCAGTTTGTTTCTAGAATGATCAAATTAAGGAAGCTTCAGACAGGCTCGTTTTGAATTTCCCCCAACTTTGATATACAAGACAGATAAACTGCAATGCTGCTTTGTACAGTCATGCCACAGCATGCCATCAGTGGCTCAAGCCCCTGGTTTATTTGCTCTGTGCAGTTTGATGTTTAACTGTATTCATAACCTTTGACAAAACACGCACACACAAGGTAGCACATCTCAGGGGGGATCAGCTGTTCTGCAAGCCAGCAGCAGCTTTTTTTTTTCCCCTCATAAAAAAAGACAACTTTGATTAACCTGATACTGATGAGGGATAAAGGTGATTTTGCTGCTCTTATTTTGCTATTTGCTAAACAAAATGTTACTGTGTGTTTACCTATACTTCCATGATAAAGTTCAGTGTTAGCTTCTCCCCACTTACTGTGTACCTTCATGCTTCTGTTATGAAGAACTGCTGCTGAAATGTACATACAGCTGTACTTTCAGTTCAAAATAAAGATTACCATGTGATTTATCTTATGGTTAATCATCGTGTGACTTCTATCAGTACAGAAAGCTTCCAAAGGATTTTAGCTCCTTGTCAAGAGTAGTTTACAAGCCATGTGGCCATTAACTTTATTCCTTACCTGATTAAGGCTGCCTGCTTCTACAGAAGAGAAGTTCCCCAGATCCCATAACTCAGAATGCACACTGCACTAGGTACCAGTGCCCAGCGTAGGTTGCAAGGTCTCTTGTCCCGTTATCTGGTTTTATTCCCCCAAAGGGCATTGCGCCAGTCACTCTCAGCCTGCAGAACTGGAGGGCTGGGAGTGGATGATCCAATGTACTTCCTCTTTGCCTCCTGGAAAGTTTCGGGACTACATTTATACCATCTGTATTCCTCTTCCTTAAGATTAGATGGGTTTTCAAGACAACAGCACTGTTTGTTAGCTTCCTGTTATGAATACATACTTGGCATGATTTTGAGTAGTTAAGGAAGTGTAGATTCAAAAAAAAAAAAACGCCGAAACACAAACCCCCAAACACCACTAGCAATATCTACTCCTTGCATTACCAGCCTCAAACCAGAGAACACAGCCGAGCCTTCTGTCTCTGTGCAGTCCTACCCACTCGGTCCCAGCCAGCTGATGCCGCTTCTAGTGAGTGAGCCGAGTATCAATTACCTGGTCAGAAAAAGCTTCCACAGCACAGAACAAGAGAGCATTGTACTGCTAAAAACAGCCAGCCACACTGAAGGCCTTGCAGGAACATGAAATAATATGTTATGTTGTCATTGAGTTCTAAGCTGTCATGGCAATTGTTAATGGCCTTTTTCCACAGAGCATGTGCTTTATACTCCACTATGCCTTAGCACTACAGCTGCCAAGGTGTGTGAAACAAAATCTTACTAAAAGAAAAAATCCCCTAAACAAGGGAGTGGAAAAGAAAATAGACCCTTGTTTCTACCTGCTGCATTTCTGTTCCCTTTTTGCTTTGGCTTCCTTTCGGCGTCATCGCATCCCAGGCTGCCAGTTGAGCGTGCTCTTTCACAATGAATCCACTCAAACAGCTGAAAAGACCGTGAGTTCAGTGTAATGTTCCCTCCTCCTTTCTCATCTCAAAGTACAGTAATGATTATCAATATTTCAGTATTCAGTGCTCCCTCAAGCTTGCAGATTTACTTTGCCATTGAAATCTGAATCCAATTCATTCAAGGATGTTTAATGAAATATCTTATAACAAAACGCCGTAACCATTATGCAAACAAAGGCAGCATGAATGGGACACATTCCACCATCTCCACAGAAGAGCAGGAAGACTTCCCTCCCCGTGCCACCCACACCCCAGTGAGTGTTGACTGATGTATACCTGATGGTGTGGCATCAAGAAGCTGTGAATTTAGATGAAGTCACAAGAATTTTCCAATATATGGAAATGTGTTTTTTCAGTAATATTTGTTTGCAGAATAAAAACCAAAACCATCTCTAAGCAAAAATCTTTTATATTCTTGTGGCAGGAAGATAAATTTGAAGATAGAAAGAATCTTTCCCT